CCACCCTTTTTTCCACCCCCACCTCCCATGGTAACCAACCCCTAGAGTTTCTGGTGTATCCTTTTGTATTGGAAATGAGAATTTCTGTACTTAGATCACCATGGAGATTCTGTCCTAAGCAGTCGCGGGAGGGGAGTGGAGCAGAGAGGGAGGGGAGGGTGGAACCTCCAAGGACAGGAAAGAAGGAGTGACCCAGAATGGAAGCTCTCAGGGTCAGCCCACATCTGCCTACCTTGGTGATTCTCTTTATTCTCACCTGTGGGACCAGGGCTTCAAAGCATAAACCTGGAAGATTCCAAAACACCAAGAAAGCAGTGAAGGATCCCAGTCAGAGCCTACATGCCCATCCCTCTCCCCATGAAATACCCTCATTCCGCCCTTCAGCACAGTATGAAAAGGACCCTAAGAAAAGCAGCCTTCCTTCCTGCCCCACAGGGCTTGGGGGGTTGCCCTGGGAAGCCAGGCCCGGCAGACACCATGCCTCTGACCAGTCTGAGCCTTAGGGAGGATGACCCTGCCTGCATCAGGGTCACAGCAGCATGTGGAGAGGAGGGAGCAGGGCTGCCTCCCTCTGTGCCCTTTTGGATCACACTGACCCATCCCCAACTCTAGGCCTCTCTGTCCTGTGCGAAGGCCCGGTAAGGACTATGAGTCCTCTTCACTGGGTCAGAAGAGGAACTTGGAGGTGGGGGCAGGCACTGTTGTTGTTGGTTGTTTCAACACTACCCCACATTGGTGGTGGGGGCGGCATTCCTGGCAGCAGCTGGAATTTCACAACGGGAGCTCTTCTTAATGAGATGGGGAAGGGGGTGCTTTGCTTGCTAAGCTTTGAAAAAAGGCATCATCCTGGGGAGAAAGGGTGTCATTGTCTTCCCCTGGCACCTCTGCCCTAAAGCCATGGGGTTCTGCTGACAAGTCACAAGAAACGGCTGGAGACTGACTCACCAGATGGAATGAGCATGCCCAGGGTCAGGCGCGCACTGCTGTGTGCTGGGTAACCCCAGGACAACGCGGCTCAGGGTCCCTGGCTGGGCTCCATCTCCCTGTCCTCTGGGCTCCCAGGGCCCTCAGGTGAGTCCTGCCTCTAAGAAGAGCTCTAGATGACTTCATAGTGCCAGTGAGACTGACCCACCAGAACTCTGCCCAGTGCCCTGAGGGTATCCCGCCCTTCCATGGAGGAGCAGTCCCAGGACACTGTGTTCTAACCCCTTCCAGGATAGGGCTGAGGATGTGGCCTGCATCTTGTGTTGCATCCGTTATTATAGTGGGGTGACTCAGCCCACCTATGGCACAACCAGCTTGGCCATCGCACACCCTGGGCAGACGGGTGTTTTAAAACCCAAGTCACTCAGCTTCTGCTCTAGGCTGGAAATGCCTGGGTCTCGTGAGCCACCCAGTCGTCACCAGCACAGTCCCCAGAAGTGCAGTGCAGTGTCCCCTCTCCAACATACACTCCTGTGAGCCCCCGTCCTCTCTCTGGAGGACACAGGTATGTGCTGGGCAGCCGGCATGGGCTGACGTGGTGGTGCTCAGGATCCCTAGCACCTGAGAGTCCAGACCTCTTAGAGCAAAATCTTGTTAATTGAGATTAAGGTTACTGGTTTTATTTTTCTTCCAGTAACTACCTCTGGCTATGCTGAGGGGTGGTGTATACAGCAGTTAGAAACCCAGACTCCCTAAGTTCCTATCCTGGTTTTGCCACCTCCTAGCTGTGTGACCTCAGGCAAGTTGTTTAACCTGTCTGTGGCACAAATTTCCTATCTCTTCATCCTAACCCCCCCGCAGCTTCCCACAAAGGTATTCTGGCCTTCATTCAGCCTCTCACTGCTAAGTTCCCCTCACCCTGCTGGTGGCCCTTCAGGGAAGTATCACCAAAATAGCTCAAGCCCGGTTTCCATCCACCTAGGATCCAGCCCCCATCCTGACAGGGTGCGCATCTTTAACTTGACCAACTGTGAGACGTCAAGCTGCCTTCTCTCAGCACGCTGCCGCTGCAGCTGCCGTGGCTCACAGGTAGCATAGGAGCAGCTGAGCAAGTTTGCTGGCTGAGGAGATAGTGAACTGAGGAGCGCCGTGGGAGCACTCTCACCCAGTTATCCCAGTCTGTGTAGGGAGCCTCTGAAAACACCTCTGCCTTTGGCTTTGGAGAGAGAAAGAAGAGCCTTCCAGAATGGTGGAGACCTCTTTCCTCCTCCCAGTCTGATAATGGTGGGCTGAGTAGGTCACCGTGCCAGTTCTGGACTGACACCTCCCTGTAAGCCCACCAGGATGGCTGCAGGCCCCATCCCTGACAGCTCACTGTGGTCCCTAGAACTTTAGAATGCAGCATATTTGGCACCTTTTATCCTTACAGTTGGGTCTCAGCCATATTTGGGGAATACAGAAGTCCTACTTGATGCACTTTCTGTTTATACTAGTGTTAATTCTTCTCAGCCCTGTCTCCACCCCTGACTGCTTTGAATAAGCCCCTCATTTCCTCTGGTACCCTTCTATATAATGAAGGACTTGTGGGAGACCTCTGAGCTCCCTTCAAGAACCTATCTTGGGATTAATGGGGGAGAAATCAGCCTCTGAGGACAAAGGTGGCTTCATGACATCTAGGCCAGCCACACTCATCCATCTGAAGCTCCCCCAGCAGGGACTGACAGACCTGAGCTTGAACAGAACCAAGCCAGAGAGCGACCTGTGTCAGAGCTGTCACTGAAGACAGAAGGTGTGTCCCATGACGCCCACCCATGCCAGCACCCGTACAATCCAAGGTGGGGGAAGGGCCTAGAAGCTGGACACCTGCCCACTCTGGCCTGAGATTGGTGGACTCACTCCCTGAGCTACCTGTGCAGGAGTAGCAAACAGAAGAACCAAAGTCCATTGTGAATGTTCATGGACGGGCCTGAGGATGTCTTCGGATATCCAGGTGCCACTAATGGAAACATCCAATCTCTGTCCTGAATTACAAATAAGAGCTTTTCTGAACTTACCCGGCCGCCTCAACAGTCAGAGGGCATGGGACCCGGAAGGTCAATCTGTGTCCCAGGCCAGGCCGGCACACTGGCACTGTGTTCTAGGTCCTTGCCAAGCTAATTTTTGCACCCAGACCATGGCATCTGCTGCCTGTTCTTTCTGGAATGCCCTTTCTGGAATGTCCCTTCTGCAGAGAGGCCCCCCAACCGGATAAGAGTGGAGGGGTCTCTATTGTACCATCTTTTCTTCGTAGCAGTGTCTTGCCTTCTGGGATTACCACTTTCTTTGTCTATTAAATCACTCAGTGTCTCTCTCTCCCATCAAAGAGCATGCCTGCTTGTTCACTGCTGTCCCTTAGTGCCTGGCACATGGTGGAGTGGAGGCACACATGTGGCCTCCTGTGTGCCTGCCACTGCCACCACCCTGCTTCACAATGTATGACCCACCCGGGACATCAGTGAAGGGATGCTGGGAAGTTTGCAAAGGGCTTAGTTTTCACTTGGCAGATGGTTCCTCCCAGGCTGGGGAAGCAGGAGGATTTGCCTATGTGGGGCCTCTGTGAGCTGAGTGCTCCAGCCAGGCGGCCGGAGCCGGGTGAGGATTTCTCATCTCTTTGCATGTCATTTGCATGGCTCAGCTCTGAGCTCTCTGCTTCCTCTTCTGGTTTCCTGGTTCTGAGCTGACCACTGCTTCCCCTGTGATCTGGCCTGTCCAGCCAGTGAGGAGGTCTACCCAGAAGGGACGAATGCAGTGACGTGCCCAAGGGCCGCATGGCACAGCCAGCAGCACGGCAGCACTTGCACTGGAAGCTCTCTTGGGGCCTCGGCTGTGGCATTTGATCTTCCCCACATGCCATCATCATTGTCCCCGCTTTACAGATAAATAAACAGAGGCTCGGAAAAGCTGAAGAATTTGCCCAAAGTCACACGGCTAGCAGATATCAGAGTCCATACTGGAGTCCAAGTCTGTTGGACACTAGAGTCGGACCTAATCGCCGTGCCCAACTGCCTCTTGTGGCTTCCCAGGGGTCCTGGGGAGCCCTCACATGGAACTGAGGAGCTGGGCTGGTCTTGCTGGAAGCTCTCAAGTCCCTGTCTGGTGCTAAACCCCCTTCTCAGGCCCCCTCCCTGGTGACTTTCCAGCTAAGCCAAGCACTCTCTGTCTTTCCTCAGTAGGACACAGAAGGGGGCCAGGCCAGGTCTTTGGATAACTGGTAGCATTGTCATGCCTCCGAGAAGGGGAAGGAAAATGGCAAAAGTGGGGGCTGAGGCAGAAAAGGAGCAGGTGCCTGTGACCCGGGCACCCGGCAGTGGATGTGACAAGGTGGGGTGGGGAGACATGTGAGGACAGCCGGGGCCTGTGACCTGGGCACCCGGGCAGTGGATGTGACGAGGTAGGGTGGGGAGACATGTGAGGACAGCCGGGGCCTGTGACTTGGGCACCCCGGCAGTGGATGTGACAAGGTGGGGTGGGGAGACGTGTGAGGACAGCTGGGGCCTGTGACCTGGGCACCCGGGCAGTGGATGTGACGAGGTAGGGTGGGGAGACATGTGAGGACAGCCGGGGTCTGTGACTCGGGCACCCCGGCAGTGGATGTGACAAGGTGGGGTGGGGAGACATGTGAGGACAGCCACCCTCAGCACATTGTGGGAGATCCTGGGCCTTTTCCTCAGAAACAGGCTCCCTGCTCTATCCCCTTGGGGTCCTCCTGCCCAACTGTGTGAGGTGTGGCCACTCCCTGGGCTCTTGGCGACACTCCCCTCTTCCCAGAGGAGTAGGCAGCTTCTCTGCTTCCATCACTGACCACTGACTTTCTACACCTTTACCCAGTTCTCCCGTAGGGGTGCCCTGTCTTGCTGCTCAGATGGGTCCGCAGGAGTTCCTGCCCAGGAGGCAGCTGTAGCCCCTGGTGCCGTGTACCTGGCGCGGCCAGGCTCATGGCACTGGGCTGTGCGTGCCTGCACCTTTGCCACTGCCCAGCCTGGCCCTTGCTGGAAAAGGAGCACAATAGGCTGATCAGCATCTGTTCCCCCCTGCAGGCAATGACTCAGGATGCAGCCTGGGGCCACGACGTGCACGGAGGACCGAATCCAGCATGCCTTGGAGCGCTGTCTGCACGGACTCAGCCTGGGCCGCCGCTCTACCTCCTGGTCAGGTAGGTCTGAGGAGGCTGGAGAGAGTCCTGAGGGCCCACGGAAGCCTCTGGGGCTGTGGTGGGTGCTGGACCAAGCATGGAAGCTGGAAGGTGCAAGTCCCCGGGCCTTGCCTGGGAGGTGCCTGGCACAGCACATGACATCAGTCCTCAGTGGGTAGCGCTTTCCCCTGTGACATCGTCCTCATCCCACTCAGGGCTGCATCTGGCTTCTTGAAGAAAGTATCAAACCTGCTTAGAAATACTATAGAGCTGCTGGTGCTGAAAGAACAGCTGGGAATTCGTGGGCAACACATCCCCGCCCCGAATTCTCATGTTTACTTATTTCTAGCTCCCTCCCCAGCCCTGACCTTCTCTTCCCTGAAAAATAGGAAAGAATCTCAGCAGAGCTTCAGAGAGCAGGAGGCCTCTATGTCCTCCACTACCCAGGACTGAGAGGCACAGGCCTGGGCAGTTGCATCTCTGAAGGCCTAGTTGCCATAATTGCTCATGCTTGTAAAGCTCTCTCACACCCCGCATCACACTTGCTCCCTTAACTGCTCCATGAGATGGATACCCACTGGGCCTCCAACATGCCTGGTTCCTCCCTACAGTGGGACCTTCACACCTGCTGCCTGGAATTCTTCTCTGGGAGCTGCACACAGTTGGCTCCTTCTCATCCAGGTTTTAGATCAAATGTCAACTCCTCGGAGAGGCTTTCCCTGGCCTTTGGACTTAGATCTGGATTAAAACTAGTTCTGATCAGCTGTGCAACCTTGTGAAATCCACTTATCCTCCTGTGACCCCACTTTCCCTGTCTACAAAATGGGAATAATAACAGGAACCACCTTCCTCAAGGGAGACTGGGAGCCTCCATGGAGATAATGTATGCAGAGGTCTAGCACCATATTGACACATAGTAGGTGGCCAATAAACAGTTTTCCTTTTTGCCTCTTACCCAGATCTTAATGGAGCCTATGCTCACAGAGCTGGGAACCAGGGGCATCATTGGGTAAAATAATACAAAAATATCTGAGTTTTGCTAATTTTACCAAACCTATGACCATGTGGACACACACTGTTAGGGGCCTGCAGGGCTTTGGAGGGAGTCTACACATGTGATGAGGCCTGCAGCTTGAGCTCCATGAAATTCAAGGTCAACCCGCTTCCACCCCTGCTGCAGTCACTTCCCACTCCACATACACACAGCACCCCCCTGTGACTACCCCTTTAATTTTTAGGGGTTTACCCTTGCTGACTTTGGAGAAACAGACTGACAAAATAAGAAAGTCTGGGGAAGTTACTGAGTGACAAAGTGCTCATTGTAGTTTTTAAAATACAAATGGTTTAGTTTCCCCTTCCTGACTTCATTGCCAGGCAGTCCTGGGAAGCCCCATGGCTGTCCCAGACTCAGTCCTGTGTCCTGGGGTGGAGCTCACTATGGTGACTCTCTTTATTTCTCATCAATTCATCAGTTTCTGCCTCTGTTCTAACTTCCCTGCATCTGATAGTTACAAGTACCCAGGGTAGGAAACCATGCCAGGGGAGGTTTGGGAGAACTGTGCCCTCCAGGGGTGCAGGCAGTAGTCATGGCAAGTTCACTGGCCTCATCCCAGCCTGAATCTCCAACCCCTGTGTCTCTCATCTATGCGGGGTAGGAAACTTGTTACCATGTTTTGGTGGGATGTGATCGTGTTGAGTGTTGCTCTGGCATTTGGAGAAATGCTCCAGCACGTTCTCTTAGACTCTCTTAGTTTAGAAAGGAATATTCCAGTGCAATCCCACATTGGAAGGTTCCAGCATAGACCTCCCCTGACCTTCTGTATGGCCACTGCCTGACTATGGCCAGAAAAGCCCAGAACTGACCATCCACCTCTCTCCCTTTTCAGCTGGGATGTGTCTAAACTGCTGGACCCTGCAGGAGCTGGTCAGCAGGGACCCAGGCCACTTCCTCATCCTCCTTGAGCAGATCCTGCAGAAAACCCGGGAGGTGAGGCAAGCTGGGACCTGAAGGGCAGAGCTTGGGTGGGCCTCAGAGTCAAGAAGTGGGTCCCAGGGAAGCCTGGGGAGGCCTGGACTGCCCTGGGAGGGGCTTGGCAAAGGCTCTGAGAACCCATGAGTTTTGTGTCTCAGCAGTGCCTGTGCACTGAGCCTTCTAGAAGGGGCGTGTGCCTGTCAGTAAGAACCCCCAACCCATGTGCCAGGGTCCTGTGTTTAAGCTGCGCTGTAAGTCAAGGCATTGACTAGAAGGGAAGAGAACACTTTGCTGAGTTCCTTTCTCAAAATGATCCATAAAAACAAAGACAGGAAAAAGAAAACTGATGGGAAGGGTGAACTGAAGCCTCCTCTGACAGTTCCATCATTGGGCTTTTCTGACAAAGGAGAGGAATGTGTTTAGTGCCTCTCTGAGCTTGGGCTCCAGAACAGCTGTGAGTCCCAAAAGAAGATTCAGGCTCTTGCATAGAGAATTATCTTTTAAGTTTTTTTAAAAAATTATTTATAAATACATCACTAAGTTGGAAAACGTGTCACTTGCTCCCTTAGCGATCCCTGTAAGAAGGAACTCTTAGTTTTTATCAAGACACCCAAGATTCCAATCTTGGCACCACCATTCACCTGATGCTTTCACACCCTCACCCCAAGCAAACCAACTTAGAAGAGTCAAACTGCCTCTGGAGTGCTAAATGTATGAGTCAACCCAGATATAAAGACCCGACCACCACACAGCAATAGGGGAGGGTTTTGTAGAAAGATCCATGTCTCATATGTACAGGACAGAAAACTCGTCATCATATTTTGGTGGGACATGGTCGTGTTGAGTGTTGGTCCAGCATTTTCTCCTAGACTCTCTTACTTTAGAAAGGAACATTCCAGTTCAGAAGAATCAAACTACCTCTGGACTGCTTAATGTATAAGTAAACCCAAGTCTAAAAGCTCAGCCTTTATATTCATAGAGGCAGACACATCGTCTCTGCAGTATAAAATGGAGAATTCTGAATCTGTGCCTGCTGAAGTCACCCAGTACAGAAGACATGGAGGGGCTTTCTCTGTGTCTCCAAACCTACAAGTTCCTGGATGGTCTGAGAAACCTTTAGCATGTTGACCGAAGCGTTCGAAATTGCGTGCTGTGCACATACTGATAGGGGCTGCAGTGGGCTCCGTCAGTGAGACAATTCACAAAAGAACAAATACAACTTTTAAACAAATATGAATTAAAAAATTTGCCTCAGTAATAATAAAATAAATGTAAATTGAAACCATAATGAGACAGACGTTGGCTAGCAAATTAGCCAAAAAAAATAAAAAAGACAATAACCAATGCAAGAAGCATATGGTAAAGCTGGTAGTGCTAGATATTTTTGAGGTAAAGATATCTAAAAATATTGTGAAAATTTCTGTACATCAAAAATATCTATAACTGCCAACATCATTGGCACTATGTCTCAAAGGTCATGGATATGTTCATATCTTTGATCTGTTGATTACACTTCTTGGACCCTATTCTAGATAAATAATCCAAGTTATAGAAGGAATGTGCCCTATGGTGTTCATGTGAAATACTGAGAATATAATCTTCAATGTTGACAGTGAAACTAATAAACTATGGAGATCTTCCAGAATAAGATGCAGCTAAAAATAATGAATGTTGGCTCGGCGCCTATAGCTCAACTGGCTAAGGCACCAGCCACGTACACCTAAGGTGGCGGGTTCGAATCCAGCCCGGACCCGCCAAACAACAATGATGGCTGCAACCAAAAAATTGCCGGGTGTTGTGGCGGGCGCCTGTGGTCCCAGCTACTTGGGAGGCTGAGGCAGGAGACTCGCTAGAGCCCAGGAGTTGGAGGTTGCTGTGAGCTGTGAGGCCACGGCACTCTACCCAGGGGGACAGCTTGAGGCTCTGTCTCAAAAAAATAAAATAAAATAAAATAAAATAATGAATGTTATTCAGTAGTATAAACAAAAGTTAATGTTAAACAAAACTGCATCAGTAAGAGGTGTTAAATGGTTCAGGGGTACTGAATAAACATTGGAAAGATACAGTCCCATACAGCAGGGTATGGCAGGATATGATTCACAACGCACAGAAAATAAAATTCTAGTTGGATCGAAGATTTAAATTCCAGAAAACAAAGCTTCAAAGAATAGAAGAAAATATATGTGAACCTTTACGTGCTGCTTGTAGAAAAAAGCAAAAATCCATAAAGGAAAAATTGACGCTTAAAATTTCTGTACATCAAAAATATCTATAAAATTAAAAGACAACCAACTGGGAAAAAAATATTTACAACACAAATTACAGGTAAATGGATAACCAGGAGCTGGGGGGAAAGTGTGGTCTTAGAGACCATATAGTGAAACTGCAATTACAATGCTCTATGTAATTTAGAGAAAACTACACACACTCTGAGTAGACCTTGGTGGAGGAAGATACGCAGAGGGAGGGGACGGTATAAGGAAAAGTACATTGAAACAATAGCTGTACTTGGGGTTGGAAGGGGAAATTCTGAGTGTTTTTTTTTTTTTTTTATTTACTTCTGTTCCCTACATTTTTGTCTTGTGGACACACTGCTTTTCACTTGAAAGACAGAATGAGAAAGCGCTGCCGTGTGCTGCCCCAAGGAGCCCGGCACCCCCGAACGAGCCTCACCCTTCCTCCCATCCTCTTCACAGGTCCAAGAGAAGGGCACCTACGACCTGCTTGCTCCCCTGGCCTTGCTCTTCTACTCTACTGTCCTCTGTGTAAGTCCAGGGTGGGCCAGGCTGGGAGGCGAGGGAGGGGAGGGAAGCACGACCTCCCTTGGGGGACACAGCCCTCCTACCTCTGGGGATGAAGACTGGCAGAGAAATGGTTGAGCAATGACATGTGAGATGGGTTTCAAGCTTCCGATGGCTTCAGACTGGCCATCTAGAGAGGCCTCTAGGAACTCCCTGTGGCAGTCATTGTGCCTGGCATCTCTGGGCTCCACGGAGGGACCCTTGTCACCTTCTGTTCACAAGCCACCAGAGAGGTCCTGTGTCCACCTCAGCTTTTACCCTGGTGGTCAGTTTCACCCCGTGTGTCATCCCCTGCATTTACCAGACCAGCGGCACCCAAAGTATGCATTGACTCATTCCACCCTCAAAAAAGCAGCATTGCCTCTAGTGAGGATATTTAAGTGAAGGCATTCCCCCAAACAAATGGCAGCAATGGCACCATTTAGAATGACCCCTAAGGTGACAGCTTCCCAGCAGGGCTCTCCTAAGGTGGCTGAGCTTTGTTCTGTTGGGTAAAATGAGGCCCTTACAGGAGAGACCCCCCTCCCCGCCCCGCACCAACATGTCCCTCGGTAACTCACTCCCTGCAGGTAATGTCCAGTTCTTCCTGGTCTTGTCCTGGGACACACTGCTGCCAGGAAATGTGTGCTTTCTGTGAGGCATTCCAGGGAGGGAGCAGAGGCTGTCCGGGAGTATCAGTGAGCTTTTTCTCACCCAGACACCTCTGCTTGCTGCCCACCTCCCATCCTAGACACCGCACTTCCCACCAGACTCAGATCTCCTTTTGAAGGCAGCCAGCACTTACCACCACTTCCTGACCTGGCCTGTTCCTTACTGCAGCATCTGCCAGGAACTGCTCACCTTCATTGATGCTGAACTCAAGGCTCCAGGTGAGTGGGGCCTCTGCCTGAAGCAGAGCTTATGTGATCAGCACACTTCTGGCTATTCTGATACCATCCTTTGGCTGTGATCCTTCTCACCTTGCAGCCTGGTTCAGCTCTGTCGGTGTCCTGGTTTAAACCTTTGGAATCTTCTCTTCATGGCACTGTGAAGCATATGATGGTAAAATTTGCACAAGTGGAGAGCAGTAACACTGAAGGTAGCTCAAGGAGGAATTCTTAGGGGAAGCTGGAACAGGTGTTCAGGGCAAGGAGACCTCGCCATTTGGCCTGCACCTCTGTTCTGCTTGGCCAAGGAGTCCCCAAAGCTGCCTGGGTCAGAGAAACCCCAGAATACTGACAAGAGGCCTTGCTTGTTCTCTTTGCCCCAGGAATTGCATGTGTTGGTTGGTTCAGTTCTGGCCAGGGAAGGTGGCTGGTGCCAGGAATGGGTTGGCAGCTGCTGTGACAAGTGTGGACAAGGACTTGGAACTCAGTTTTTATTTGTGGGATCTGAAAAGTAGGAGTTCTTGAGAGACAGAGGATATTGATATAGACATGAAAATGAGATCTAAGGAAACTATGACAGAGCAAGAGAAAACAGAATCAAGTCTGACTTACTGAGAGGTGGCACATCACGTTAGTACTCAAAGGAATAAAGTGACATAAACATCTCAATAAATGCCTCTAATACACTGATAAAATTCAACACCTATTTTGATATTCAAAACCCCTCAATATGTGGAAACTATTACTATAGAAATGTTTTTAATATGGTAACAGCCCCAAATGAAATGCTAGAGGCATTTCTTTTAAAGTCAATAATCTTTTTATTTATAGGTATTTTGCATATGCAAAAAGACAAAAATAAAGAATATTTTCTCTTCTAGAGAAGAGAAAATTTTAATTATTTAGAACTCAAACAATTGTTTACCTGTCAAGACATAGATTCACTTCAACAAATAATTGTCAGAATAAGAAAACAAGTAGTTAAGAGCTTTTCCATAAACCAGCATTAATCAGTAAGAAAACTTAATGAAAAAAATTACAATAGCAAATAAAAATAAAGAATAAATAAAAGAACATTTAATAACTAATATAGAGAAAACAGATTTTCCTGAAGAATAAATAATTGAAAAGAGAGATTGTTGGATGAAATCAATATTGTAATACCATCAGGTATTATGAAATGAAATGTAATCACAGTCAAAATATAATATCAGCAATATATTTTTAAGGGTAATAAAATACTCTATTTGAAAGAATAAATGCTCCACAGTAGCATTTATTTATGCATTTATATTTATTTATGTATTTTTAATAACTATGCAACTATAGTTATTAAAATAGTATAGTTAACAGATATAAGAATAGGTAAATTAATGGAACAAAATATAACAGCTAGAAACAGTATAAAAATTATAAAAATTTGTAAAAATTTACTATATGACAAAGAAGCATCCTCAAACCAGTGATAAAGAAAATTAGTCATCTAATAGATGGTATTGAAATAATTAGCAGATCATAAAAAGAATTGAATTAGAATTATGCTCAAAAAATTTAAGAGTTCTATCTCAAACATAAAAATAAGTTTCAGGTAGATTAAAGGTTTATATATGAAAAATGAGACCATAAAATTAGTAGAAGAAAAACAGGTTACATGAACCTGTAGTGGAGTAGAGGTGCCCAACATGTCCCCCACGGCAAAATTTAGAAAGAAAAAGACCAACAGAGTTGAAAGCATAAACTTTAAAGCATGTATATCGCACACCCACTATCAGGGAAAGGTAAGTAACCAACTAAGAAAAATATTTGCAACAAAAAACTAATATAACAAACCCATAAAGAGTTCTTTTGAGTCAATTAAACAGCAGGCAAATGTACTCATGGAAATAGGAATAAGTTTGTGATTCAGGTCCAAGAAAGAATCCTGAATGGCTGAACAATACCTCCCAAAATATTCACCCTCACTGGTAATGAAAAATACTCCAAACTAAATAGTGGCTCTTTTTTTCCCCTCTTAAAGTGACAAAGATAAAAAAAAGAACAAAAATCCCAGTGTCGCCAGGGAGAAGAGGGGCTGTGTTTGCTAAAGAATCGGAAAGAATACGCTTTCACCCGGCAATTCCATTTCTCAAAATTTATCCTGATAAATATTAGGATGTACAAAGATTTAGCTACAAGGATGCTCATCAGCTCTGTCTTTCTGATAATCAGCCAATGACAAAAAGCCTAAATATTGAATATCGTTGAGTATATTGTGGCAGAGTCATTTGGTGGAATGCTATTCAACTGTTAAAAATGATACTGTAGGATTAGAGTTACTGAGATCAAAAAGTGTTGAGTAACTTGTTGATTAAAAAAGGAAGCCCCAGTCTCGTGGTACAGTGGCTCACGCCTATAATCCCAGCACTTGGGAGGCTGAGGAGGGTGGATTGCCTGAGCAGGAGCAAGACTCCCATCTCTAAAAATAGCTGGGTGTTGTGGTGGGCGCCTATAGTTCCAGCTACTGGGAGGCTGAGGCAAGAGAATCACTTACACCCAAGAGTTGGAGGTTCCTGTGAGCTGCGATGCCATGGGCTCTACTGAGGGCAATAAAATGAAACTCTGTCTCAAAAAAAAAAAAAAGAAGCAAGCCCCCAAATACTATGTGTAACCTCATTTAAAAGAAATTCCAATGTATACACGTACCAGGCCCTGTTCCGTATTGACAGCATTTAATTCTCACCATACACATTAAACACACAGGGACAAGGGATAGAAGTACCAAATCTTGTTTTCCAACAGCTCATGGACCCTAAAAGCCCAGGACTGAAGCTTTGTTTGTGAATTCTTTGGAAGTTTCATAACTGCCTTCCCCAACCTCTGTTGTTACAAATGAGCACAGCAGGGGACAGGCTGGGGTTGGCCAACCACAATGTCTCCCTGTAACATAGTCCTCACTTCTTGGTAGAAACTTGGGTGGAGAGTTAAGAAATCAGGAAGGCCTTGAGGAGAACGTGTTGGCCTCAGAGAGGGGCTTGGGCACACCGTGAATAGACAGCCTGCCAGCCTAACTTTCCAAGGCACCCCAAATGAACAAGCCAGTTTAAGATCAAACTCTTTTCATTCTTTTCCCCCCTCCCATATCCCCCCCAAACAAACAGACCTAGATCTCTTCTAGGATTCTTACTGGTGACTGGAGCTCCTTTGCCAAGAGGCAACACTTTTCTTACTTTCTACAATTTTGGAAGAAAGGGTTTAAAATGCAAATGCCACAATAGGGCCTTCTTACCAAGTGAGATCTGGTACTTCGTTTATACCAAAGATTTAAATGACTCTTTTCTTATTTTGAAATGGATAAAGAAGATGCTGAGTTGGGGGAAGAGGTCACTTGTGGGGAGACCACTTCCCGATTTCAGATACAGCCAGCTGTCTCTCCTCAACTGCATGCACACTATGCCTCAAGATATTTTTGTGTATAGTTAGGTGGCTTCTGTTCTGGGCTGCCCAGTAGGCAGATGTGGTGCAGGGATGGGCAGTGGGGAGGCCCAGGCCCTGGGATGAAGGGATGCTAAGCCTGGGACACACAGGCCAGGCAGAACAGCAACTGGAGATGAAGATGGAATGAGGGCCCTGTGGCCTCAGAGCAGGGCGGGCCCTGGGAACCAGCCCTCTCTACTGAGGGCCTTCTCAACATCACCCCTGGGGCCGTATGAAGCCTGGGATGCTATGGTGATCAGGGGCAAGGCAGTTGCCTAGAGAGGGAAGCCCAGGCCAAGTTACCCATGCTGGAAACTACTCTTCTAGGGAAAGCAGAACTGAAATAGGAAACCATCAACGTTCCCTGGTGTCAGAGAATCATTTTTGAACAGTTATAAAACCTAACACTTATACAAATATTTAATGAGCTTGTGCTAGAGATGTATCAGCTCATTACTGAGGGAATCAGCAACATAGTAGAGCCTGTTTTAAGGAGGGTATGAGAAACTCGTATAAAGTTCTCATAGAAGCTAGAATGAGAGGCAAAATTAGATACAAAATCATTAATATCCTGTAGGGGACTAAAATCATAATCTTTGGGGTTATCTTTTCTACTGAACAAAATCACTTGCAACTTATCTCACATCCTCAAGTTAACCTCTGATTTCACAGAACCTGAATCCTAATCAATAATAAATAGTATGTTAAACAAAGTTAATTTCTTCTATATGACCCTTAAGTGGAATTGTCAGAAAATGCTTTAGTGTAATTTTTAACAACCATACAGTTATCTTTTTGCCTTATTCTTGAGTCCTTCTCACCCCCTCATAAAGTGAGAGGAGGGCTGGAATGGAGGCCCAGGAACTTGAACCCTTGGAACAGAGGCTGCATACCTTAGTGGTTACCAGTACTTGGGACCAGACCATTGTGGTTACAAATCCTGAATCTGCTATACACTAGCTGTGGGGTCTTCAACAGGGCATTTGACTTTTAAGCCTCAGTTTCCTCATCTGTAAAATGAGTGTCTAGTAATGCCTTCCACTCAGAGCATTGTGAGGCTTAATGCTGGCTTATGTTGATTTCACATTGCTAGGGACAGGATGTTGGGATGATATTAATTTAGAAGATGGGTCCTGACAAGGTCACAGGGAGAAGATGACAAGGGACTTAGAGAGCTGGGCCCTCCACCCATTGAATCTTAGGGACTCAGTTGCCATGGAGACAAATAAAACAGTTCATCTTGCTTTGATGTGGCTGGGTGGCAGGGGAAGTGGGCCTGTTATCAAGGCTTGGGGACCTCCCCCTGCTTCCTGACTCCACCCCCCATAGGGTCGCCTACCACCTCTACTCTGGGGGTGGCAGGAAACCTCACATCAGTGCCACAGGGTCCTGCCTGCTTACAGCTCTCTTGGGCTCAGCCCACATGTTTATTGAATATTTACTCTATGCCTGCAAGGCTGTGAAGACCACAATTTCCTCCTGCAAAGAATTTATCTATAATCCTGAGGAACCACAGTGGGCATCTTATATGTGAGTCATTTTGTAATTTC